ATTAAATAAAACAGTACAGTATTGTTGTTTCTTAAAATAGCTACAGGTTACAACAATAGTTATTTAAATTAATAACTTTCATTTACAGAAGAAAAGCAATTAAGTCTTAATTTTCATTTAAAAGTAGCGTGATAATTGCCTTTAGAACTCTGTCCAAATCCTACTATTTCTAAGTTAAAATAATTTGAAACAAATATGGACAATTATAGACACATTTTTGATTTAAAGAAAATTTCGTTTTAAATGAAATAACCCAGTGTTATGCACAAATAATTTTGCTTACGAATATATATTTTTTACTACATTATGTATACGTTTATTTATTTAACAATGAAACACTCGTATAATCAATTTAAAAAGGTTTTAATTTTGACATGTACACTTATTATTGCGTGGGTTTCTTTCGAATATAATTTATTTAATAACTTTCGAAAATTTTCGCGGCACACCTATGGTCTCGCGGGAACCGGTTGAAAGTCACTGCCTTAGACTGTCATGGCGGCGCCTACTTTCTTTGGCTTCAGACGGCGGGTCTAGTTTCCACGTTAAGTTTTATCCGATTTGGGGTCTACAGTAGTAGTTATGTGTCGTTGGGAGGATAATTATTAATTCCATTTGTAAATTTGAATATGCTGATTGCATCAACATTAAATGGACTTAATATTTTGAAAATTTCCTTATATCTTTGCACATTTGAGAATCTGTCTTGGAATGCCTTTAGCAAATTTTGTGACTTCGCTTGCATATTTCGAAAAAATCTTTGTGGTCACTATTAGTCATTTAATAGAGTGAAATGGATGACATTATTTGACCTCAATTGACTTTCATAAAGCTTGAGTTTCAATATGAACGCTTTTATATCTTGATAACAGTCTGTATTCAATTTATTTTTATCTTGAAGATTCTGATTTAGTTCATTTAATTTCATTGTTATTCTTATTCTACTCCCTTGGTTCATATGGAGACTATAGCCTGATACGCTTTTTCTCCGAGAGACGAGTTATTGATCGCTATGCGACCGAAGAGCCGGCCGTATCTAACGGCTTATACGCACGCGCGGGAAATAATGCCTTCCGGGAGGACTTTTAAGGGGAACTGGCCTCCTATTCAGTCGTTATTGGCAAGGAGAAAACCCGGAAAACTCCTTGCAGCCAGCCTGTCCGATCGCGGCGCGAACCCACGACCGAACTTCCCAGTGTTTAGGGTCTGGTCACCGCTATGAGCGGCTACGGAGACCACTCGCCCACTGGTGGGGGCAATTTCATTGTTATATCCATTAGAAAACATAAATCTAATTTTAGCGTAAAATAGTAAATCACTGTATTCAGATTCGAGTTCGTGAAGACATTTTTGAAACTGACGATGCTTCAATGAATTATTCTTAATTGAATTAATTGTAGTAATCATTGGCGTGTCTGACAAAAATCAATAGTTCGAATAGATACGATTACACAAAATAAAGCTTTTTTAAAAATCTTATTTACTCGTATATAAGTATTTATGGTCCATCGTTTTCATATCGACTTACTAATTTGTTACATGAGCTTTTGCTGACTTCGTTCATGCACGATATATTTGTTACTATTAATAATACGCGTCTTATAGATCAAGGGTGGGCAACCTTTTTTATAACATGGGCCAGAATAAATTTTACGTTTTTTCCACGGGCCATAGTAGTTAATTGACACCTTGTGACCTGTAAATTTTTACTTAGCAAATATGAAATAAATAAATAAAAAGAAATTAATTACTACAGTCGACCCCCCCTATAACACTGTTGATTATTCCGTTTTATATGAATTCCATGTTGTATGAGTCACTTAGATTTTACAAATGCGTGTGCCGGGCTGTGAACGGCTCACCTATTTGTAAAATCTAAGTGACTTTAAACACAATAAAAACAGCACTATGTAGTTGGATACGACAGACATTACATTTTCTAATTGCATAGCTTTTGCACATAGATTTTCTTGATGGATGATGCGATGAGATATAAATAATTTAGAAAAATTCTGTTCTCCCATTTTTTGTTTGAATAAGGAAATGACTCCCTTATTTTTTCCTGTCATTGCTGCCGCAACACTTCAGAAAATAATATTCAATTTAAACTAGACGAATTACATCGAAAAATATTTATTTATAATTTCTTCTAAACATCTCGCGGGCCGGATAGAAACTTTTCGCGGGCCGTAGCTGGCCCGCGGGCCGGGGGTTGCCCACCGTTGTTATAGATGAAACTGAACTACAGTACATTGCTTCAGTTAATAAAGTAGCGCGCTCATTGACTGAGATCGGACTAGCATAGAAACAATTGACATGAATGAGCAGAGTTGTTAGCGCGCACTGAATCAGTAGTTTGATCTCTTCGTGGAATTTGCTACTTCGAAAAACTATGGAGTGAGCTGATCCAACCAGAACAGAGTCGAAGCAGTTTACCTAACGCTTTTTTTTCTTTTTACTTTTTCTGCCATGTGGTCAGTGCCGGCCCGAGGCAAGTTTTAGGATGGAGCACGATCCTATTATGGCGCTCCCCTTGGTTGCCCCTAATTTATACCCTTTAATTTTCTTTACCACTGAAGCGTCCCCAAGGACTTAGCGCCTGGAGCGGCTGCTCCGTTCGCCCTATGGTAGGGCCGGCTCTGCCTGTGGTCACTAAGAGGACCTATTTTTGCAAGCTCGTTATGGATTCGGCAAGACCCACAACGGGACGGCTGGGTGATGAGGTACGGGGCCGACATATCTGGACGGCTCAACCCCGTAAAATTCCTGGGGATTATTTGACCCGTCCGTAATCGATCCCGGGTCCCACAGCGGTAGAATATCACCTTGACTGCTCGGCCATCCTGTCGTCCGTAAGGTCATTTGTCATTGGCTGATATCGGACACACACGATCTATTCGCTCAGGGCGTTTTACTATCTAAATCCACTTGCGTGCAATAAGATTTTTCTTTTAATTTTATGAATAACAAAACGTAAAATACATAGATAACTGCACATTTCAGACGGGCCGTGGAGAAACTTCAAATGGGAGCATGCGGCTCGCGGGGTACGTATTGGACGTGGAGGATGTACTGTACTAGCACATTAAGGCTTACTTGTAACTTCTTTGATTATGCACGCGATCTCCAGCAGATGGCATTAAAACTTAGTGCTCTCTCTACGGGAAGATCCTTTTCCAAAAATTCTGGATAACAAAAGCAGGTAGAACCAAACAATTTTTTGCTATAGAATCCTATTTAATCCGTCTATTAACATACAGTTCGGAATTTTGAAAATCGTACGTTAGTAGACGGGTTAAATAGGATTTTACAGCAAAAAATTGGTTCTACCTGCTTTTGTTATCCAGAATTTTTGGAAAAGGATCTTCCCGTAGAGGGAGCACTGAATTTTTAATGCCATCTGCTGGATATCGCGTGCGTAACCGAAGAGATTACAATCATCTTTAACGTTATTAAGACTAGCCATGATTTTAACTATTCTCTGGTGGGTTAAATGTATAGCATTCGTTTAAAACACAATTGTACTATTGGTATTTTAAGCCTATTGTTTGATTTATCATTTCAAAGATATTGACGAATCAGACAAATGTGTCCAACTCTATTTCATTAATTTTAGTTCGTAAGTTATCGATCCAGGGTGGATCTACATAAGGACTAATAGGGCTTAAACCCTGGGCCCCAAGTGTCAAGGGCCCACAAAAATTGAATTATCATCATAAATTTTTAATAGTTTTTCATTAAAATATATTTCAACTCTGATTTTGATGTAAGTAAAAATGAATTTTAAACCCCAATTTAAAGATTTTTAATCTAACAAATAATGGGGCCCCATTGGATTTCAATAAGCCCTAGGCCCCGAAAAACCTAGATCCGCCCCCGTATTGATCTGAGATTGTTTAGTTTCTGTCTCTTAACATAGATTAATAATAAAAACTGTAAAGTTATTCGTTTTCAAACGCGCGTGATTTTAAAAAAGATCAATAAAGGTCAGTAAACAGAAACATGACACCTAAAATACGTCAGTCCTGTAAGTGTAAATGAAACCCTTTTGTTATTTTTTTAGATTTCACAAATTATATTGTTTATCGAAAAAAGAATGACATTATATAATTTAAAACTAACATTTTATTTGTTGTAAAGTTAACTTAGGTGAGTTGAAAATTTGTAATTTAACTTATGTAATTAATTCAGATAGAGATTATTATTATTATTATAAAGTTATGAATTATTTAGATCGGTCAATATCTAAGTTCATAGGATAACCTAAAAAATGAATATTAAAGTAGATATTCATAGAATGGGAATTTAATAATGTACTGTACATTACATAGAATCCCTGTTTTACGCTTAACTGATTCTATCGCTAACAAGTTTCCGTAAATCGAATTCTTGTTTTTTATAGGTTCTGTTATAAATTGAAGTTTTATTCTTAGAAATAACAAAAATTTGCTACATTTTATGAATCATAGCAGAAAATTATATACAGTAAGCGTCAAAATCCTCCCAAAGTTCGTATGTACAGTAATACCCCGACTTACGCTACCCCGACTTACGCGAATCCGGAGTTACGTGATTTTCAAATCTCGTCGATTCGTCTTTTGTTTGAGCGCCACGCAACTCTTAATTACTCATTTCCCCCACACTATTGTTCGGCTTACATGTTCGGACGTGTTCGACATATAGCTACAATTTACTTTGTGTTATTTGTATGTATTTATATGCAAAATTATACCCCGACTTACGCGAATTCGACTTACGCGGTTATCGCTCGGTCCCACCTATCGCGTAAGTTCGGGGTATTACTGTACTATAGAAAAATAGCAAAAACTATTCGATATGCGAAATTAAAAGGAAATAAATCAGCCGTAAGATTATTACAATATTCACATAATTGCAAAAATTTTAAATAATTTTCATATTTTTCAAATATCTATGGTGCATAATTCTGCTTGTTGCATTGGCAGGATTTTGACGCATAAATTAATTTGTTATAACACCAGCATTAAACAATGTAATTTCGTGCGTATTAACGCGCTATTAGCGTATAATTATGCAAACGAGCTGCTGCTTGATATGCGTCATCATGAAAAAGATTTCCAACGAGAAGAAACTCCGTATTGTGGACTTGCGAAGAAAAGTTTTTCTGTTGAGAAAACAGCATTAGAAGTTGATGTTGGGCGTTCGAATGTTGCCAGAATAAAAAATAATGAGCTACTATATCACGAAAATTTAAAAGCTGGCAGGAAGAAAACGTTGAGCGCTGAAACTGAAACGTTTGATAACGAATGGACGTTACGATACATCACAAGTAAAGAGGGAATTGAAACATGAACAGAAGTGAGTACTTCAACTATCCACAGATGCCTTAAACGTAACAATTTGAAAGCCCAAGAAGCCGAAACCTACCAAATTACATAAACAGAAACGTCTTAATTTTGTCAAACGCCTGTAAAGACTGGACCTTAGAAGATTGGAAGAGGATTGTATGGTCAAATGAATCCAAAATTAATAGAGTTGGTTCAGATGGGCGAAAATGGGTATGGGCTAAATAGATGAAGTCTACAATCGAACGAGAAATACAAACAACATTGAAATTTGCTGGTAGTAGTCTTTTGGTCTGGGGCTGTATTACCTATTTTGGGCCTGGAATGCTATGTTCGATATCTAATAGTGTTATTAGCGTTATTTACACTGAGATACTTGGCAATTATTTGTTACGATCTGTTGATTATTACCACATTGATAGGGACTCTTTTATTTATCGGCAAGATAATGATCCAAAACATACATCTAGGAAGACAATGTCATGGCTTCGGGATCAAAATATTAGCCTGCTTGAGTGGCCATCTCAATCGTCCGATCTCAAACCGAGTGAACACATCTCGTCCCTTAATTAAACGTCGCTTGTCTGGCTGTGTAGCTCCGCCCGAAAGCATCCACCAATTATGGGAACGTGTATAGGATGAGTGGAACAAAATAACATTGCACGATTGCAAGAATATTATTAATTATATGCCCGATCGCATTAGAAGGTTTTAAAGTCAAAGGAAGTTATACCGATTATTGAAATTAACTTTTTCCACAAATATGATATAGATTTTTGTCTGCGTCAAAATCCTCCCAATGCATATGTTCTTTGTATTTTACTATTATTAATAAAATAATCACATTGTTATATTATACGTAAACATATAAATATGCAAATAAATATAAAATTTTTCGTACTAAATGTGCTTTGCAACATTTTCTAGTTCTTTAAAATAGTCTCCCGCATTCTTTGGGAGGATTTTGATTACTTATTGTATTTTGATTGCTTACTGTATGTAATAAGTTCTTATTGTAATCACTTTGAGCCTCGATTATGAATTTGAAGACATTAAAAAAATAATAATAACGTATAAGTCTAATAGGTTTAAAATGTTAAGAGAAGATGCAAAATATCTTGTATTTGTCTCACTATTTTAAGAATTTGTAAAGAGATAAATATAATAATATCTTGATTTCATTTATTTATAGAATTATTCAATCTTAATGAAATTCGTTCATGTAATATATGCATTTTTAAAGCAAATTAATTTGTCTCTAGACACATCTAATTCAAGTTACAAATATATACAATTATTGTTAGAAAATATATGCAACTATTGTTAGATAACTTAAACATCAAATCTTATTTAAAGTATTAATTAATAAGGTGATTGAGGTAAAACCTGTCACTTAAATATTTGACATTTAACGTCTAAACGAGTTTAAATCGTCCGCACGTTCTGCACGCACATTTCTTTAGTATATTACATCATTTCCACTTTAACTTTGAATCGGATAAATTTGGCCGAGAACGCTTTGTTTCTCCGCACAGGAAATAATATGTGAAAGTAGTTCGGCCATGTTTTCATTCACTCGGCGTACGATAAATCTGGCCGAGGTGGCTAGGTTTAAACTTATAACAGAAAGAATTAATTAACTGAAAACCGTTTATAAGTTGGAACAATTTCTAATCATTTAAGATTATTTTATATTTAATCTGAAAGAAAATCAATTGGTGAAAGAAGGACGTTAACTTAGGCATTCCAGCAATTGATATTTTTGAACAAAATGAAATTGTGTAATTGTAATTGTAATAAAATAAAATAAAACAAAATAAAATATTTTTGAACAAATTTAAATCGTGTACTGAATTGTCCCGTAAGATTTTTTTTGTTTTTTATACTTTTGCTGTTAACTTGTTATAAACAGTTCTTGCACACAAAATTTCCTTGAAATTTGCTTGCCTTTTCGTAATCATAGCTTTTATGATTTCTAATACTATCTGTTAAACCAAGCCAAGCCAAGTTTGCCTGAAAGTAGAACCAGGCCAATTCAAATCCACCAAATGAACTAAACACTAAATTCTCACAAATACTTTCAGAATTTAAGAATTAAATTATTTTTTTCCTCTGGCGCCCGAAACATTAAATTAAGTAACGCAAATTATTTGTAGTACGTAACGAAGTAGTTCTTATCTCACATTTGGAGCTTTTCTATCTGTTTTTTCTGATTAATAAAAATGATTTCTCCTTTATCAAAATCGCACGTTTCTTGAGTGGTTTGCCAAACTTAGTGCGAAATGTTTTCGTGTAATTTACTGGCACCAGTTAAATGAATCGCTATTAGTAAGGGGCTGCAAAGGCGTAATAGAAATTGTGTACAACGCATTAACTTTACCAGCATATTATACAAAAGCATGTTAATCTTAAGTGGCCAGGTTTTACATTAATTACCTTAAATATACTTTATCTGAATTTTTTTTTATAATTAGATAATAACAATTCTTTCTATATTTAGTTAATATATTTTTTCTTTTTTTGATTTCGAGACGCTAATATCAAATTCTATTAGGTAATTTTTAAATGAAGAAACGGAATTTTATATTTTTGTTCTGATATATTTAATAAAAATATACACATTTTATTTTTAATAAAATATTTTATTAGATAAATAATGCAAATTATACATAGGCCTACCCAAATATTTGTTCCCGAATTGATTTCGATACTAAGTTTTCATTAAAAATTGTAATGCGGTAACCGAAATGAAATTAAATGAACTTTGTACAAAATCTGATAAAATTGCTATCATTAATTAGAGTCTGTTTTAATTAAAATTTTCATTTACAGATGAAAATTTATTTTGAAAATTAGAAGAGTCGATCGAATACACTCTCTTCAAACTTATCTTCATTTGAATGAAATTTTGATGATTTATTTATGACAGTATTTTTATATCAGTTCGTATTAATATCTTTTCTTTATTGACGTTGTTTTGTCAGATAATAAATAAAACTAATTTCAGTATCCAACAACGTTGCACTATTATCTTATTTTGTGATTGAGCCATTCAATGATTAGTTACAAAAATTCCTTGTAAAATTAATAATACATTTTGTCTTCGGATTCGTTCAATATTTAACGACGTTGATTTTCTTGTTTATTTTATGATAAATACGACTTGATTTTTCCTTGTGATATACTATACGTTTATATGATATATTGAGGATCTAGATTGTTATTGCCGATCCTCTCCTTTTATTATAATTTAAATGATTATTGTCTTCGTTAATCAGTTAACGTAATATATCAAAGTAATGCAATTTCATCTTAAAAATAGAATATATCATTTAACGAAATTATTCTACAATAATTAACCGACTATTTATACATTTATTTAACAATGAGCGTGCATTGCGATATGCATTTTGTCCGTGATATTATTTATAATGATATTAAATAGCCATTTCACTGGCTGCGTAACTTCTCTCATTGCACACAAATGGGTGTCTCTCCAACCCACTGTCTGTTTTGACAGTATAGTTTATTGATTCTTTCATTTTGAAATCTGTAACCATAATTGCATTTATATCGCACTGACATATAAAAACTGTCGGAAGATGATGAATGTTTGTGAGTTTCGTATTTCCAAACAATAGAATTGGGTAACATAGGTGCTCGTAGTGGGTAAGTAATACCGTGCGAAGATTCGTGACAAGTGCTATCGTAAGCGGAAGTTCTAGGATCGAATGGTCGCAATTTGTGATGATCATATGGTACGTTAGGCGGTTTGTACGGACGAGATTTTCTTTCCACAACAGAATCTGCAAATTAGTAGTAACAACAATTAATTTTCCCATAGTCACAAATTAAACTCTAATTTTAAACTCGTATATTGGATACAATTTCCTTACCTGTAATTATTCCCTGATCGGTATTGGCGTTGATTTTAATTTCCGGTTTGTGACGTAATTCTTGAATATGTTTTTTGTTCTTTCGCCTATTACGTTTTTTATTTCGTTTTTTCTGCCTTTCTTTGAATAAGCCTGGTTTAGTGAGTTCGGCTGGAGCCGGAGGAAGAACGACTACATCGATTGAGCCATGATAACGACCATTCACTGATTTTTGAGTTTCACTTTGAGGATACGTTGTATAACCATAGCGTTTATTTTTTACTTCTTCTAACTGTTTCTGTCTGAGCTCTGCAATTTGCTTTTCTTTCTCAATCAACTCTTCCACGCTATTATCAGTTCTAGTTGTCGTTCCAATAGAAAGAATGTTTTCTGGTTTTCGGGAAGGTGCCCAAATTCCATTGATTAACGGCAGTCTGTTTTCTCTGTCACCATAGGGAGGATAATGAGGTTTATCTTCCCAGTGGAACAAAGGTCTTTCGGTTGATGTTCTGTCCTTTAAATGAGATTCTTTGATACCAGGTCTTATGGTATAAGTTGTTGCTCCTCTGAATTCTTCATATCCTGTTTTATAATAAAGAAAAACCTTTATAAATCATTTAAAAGTTACTATTTAATGAATGTCTTCTTATACTAGAAATATTTTCTTTTAAGAGAGAAATACGAGAATTAAACAGAGCATTGTTGTATTAAATGTCATTTCTTAGTTATTGTTCATCATAGAAATATTATCATCTTAAAATAACTATTTATTATTATGGAAAACATAAATTATTTTTATCTTCTCGGAAGACTGGAAAAATTTCCGATAAAATTTCGAAAATTGCATTTTAATGCGATGCTTAAATATATCAAATGTCACTATCACAGCTTTTATCGAAATTGAAAGTTCCAGATCTTATGAAATGTAAAGATGATATTTAACTGGATAGAAATAAGATATTTTTATTTAATGAATGCATTATACAAAGAATTGACTCAATTTCGTCTCATATTTATACAAAATGAAATGTCTCGATATAACAAAAGCAAAGACGTTTTTCCAAGATAAACGTCGACTTTTTTGCACTTTTTGATTTTGTCGTAAACATCAAAGTCAAAAAGTGTAAAAAAGTGATATGTTAATATACTCGAATATCTCAGAAAAAAATAAACAAAAGAAAAATAACATTATGAAGACATTGAATGTATAAGTTTAGTAGTTACTAATTATAATAAAAACAGGTTCGGAAACGTTCGTCGGAGTTAACATGCATATGTTTCTCTCGATTATCTGATACTATTCTTTATAACCAGATGGTCACATCTCTCTACGCGATAATAAATAATAAAAATCATAAAACAATTTAATTAATATCAATTATATTAAAACCATGCAGTCGATAGTTTTTATTAACTCTTTATTGCTATATTATTCTTCGGATTTCTTTTGTTATTTTGTTAAGTAAGATTTATTTCAACATAACAATATACAGTGAGCTAAATTGATTTATTATTTTTTAATTACAAAGTTCGTTTTATTAACTTTACTCGACTATCGCATTAACGATATCTTTTGCTAATATAGTAAATACTTTATGACAGATTGGACACAATTGTATGTTTTTAAGACATTATTATTTTATTTTCAATTATCTGTTTTATATGTATATATAGATAATAATAAAAAAGTTTATTATTAAATTTATACACAATAACTTGATATTATGATAAGAATATACACTATTGAAGTGAAAGTATAATAACACATATTTTGAGAATTGAAACAATGCGAAGAATAAATTAAAAGAATTTAACAATGGAAATATGAGAATACAAAATGTAAAATATAATATAAATCCTCTTATAACAAGCGTNAGAATATACACTATTGAAGTGAAAGTATAATAACACATATTTTGAGAATTGAAACAATGCGAAGAATAAATTAAAAGAACTTAACAATGGAAATATGAGAATACAAAATGTAAAATATAATATAAATCCTCTTATAACAAGCGTAATTAATTTCTCTTAGTGAAATAAAATGCAGGTTATTCTATAAGCAAGCTAAGCGCTTGCTTATGATCTAAATCTTAAGGATACTCTAATAGAAATAATTGTATACTAAATTTATTTTATGAATATTAAAGGGAATATTCAAAGGCTGCCAAAATTAGATGATGTTCAGGACTTCCAAATATGTTAGTTTGCCATTGAGAAATATAATTTTGTCTCTTTATGGAGCGTTTAAATATTTTGTTATTTGTGATTATATACCTATACAGTATATTCTACATAGTCTATCATCTACATGAATTAAACTAAAAGCAATAAAATTATTAATTAAAATTATAAGTACTAATTTTATCCATTTAAAGCAGGGGTGTCCAACCCGCGGCCCAAGGCAAGTTCCAATGCGGCCCAGAGAAACAAAAAGGTTGGACACCCCTGATTTAAAGTTTTTAATTAATTTTCAGACATTTTGTTTTTTCAATTTTTAGTCAAATTTTTAATACTATTTTTAATGTAGATAGCCAAAGTGTACAATTATCAGACACTGTTTACCGTTGTTACGATAACTAATTTCCATTTCAATTTAAATCTTTGAATGAATCTTATATAATTTAATTTTAGCAGAGAATAAAACATGTCGATATTTAAATTATTTTCACAAAGAAATACTTAAAAAAGCAACATTTTTATTGGCAATGTGACTAAAATGCAAGAATGGAGCTCATTAGTTATTGGCAGGAGTCTCGAGAGATAAAATTGCTTTCAAACGATCCAGAAAAGTAAGATAGCTTCCACATTAAACTAAAGATTTTAAAAGACTGAAAACAACTTCTGCTTTTAAAAATAAGCCTGGAGCTAAATCGCATAATGATTTTTCGTTTCGACAGAAATTCCAATATGTGGTAAGAATAATTTTATTCGGATTTTTCAACCTTATTTAATTAACGTTAATATTATAGAGTATCTACTAGAAATGTTTTTATCGTGAATAAAGACACAATCCTGTACAGATATTTAAATAATAAAATTATGATAGAAATATGTACCATTTTTATTTGTTATATATTTCTGTCATAATAACATGATGATAAGAATATACACTATTGAAGTGAAAGTATAATAACACATATTTTGAGAATTGAAACAATGCGAAGAATAAATTAAAAGAATTTAACAATGGAAATATGAGAATACAAAATGTAAAATATAATATAAATCCTCTTATAACAAGCGTAATTAATTTCNAAGAAAATATGCAGTAATTTATTTAATTAATCTGCGAGAAAAATTTCTTGTTTGTAGGTCTTGATAGTAACATTTTCATTTGTTTAAAATTAAAATTTGCTTGATATTGGGATTAATTATATAATTCAAAATAGATTAGAAAAAGTAATATTATTATGTTTATTCTTTTTAGTCAGTAACATATCGTTACATGCTAAAAAATTTGCAAACTAAAATACAGTAATTTTTTGCTGTAGACCAATTAACAAGCTTCTATAATCGATTAAAGATTTAATGCATGTACCGTAACTTTAATGTGTGTTTCAATATTCTGTTGAAACCTGAGAAGCGTAATTTCGAGTTAATTAGACTAAGTTTTAATCATATTAATTAAGCACATTTAGAACCCTGTCTAGAAACACATAATAAACAATGTCTGAGAACAATTGTATAAGAGAAATTGTAATAAAGTGTTAAAATTTTTAGATTTTAAAATAAAATCATAAAAATGTAAATGTTTAATCTAAAAATATATTAATTAAATTAGTTTCAATTTAGATATTATATTTAGGCTAATTAATTTGAAACTAATACTTGAATTTAAGTATTTCTAACATAAAAAATAGAATCAAATAATTTTTAATAATTGATTTTTGGCTGATAAATTTGTAAATCAAAATAAATATAATAAAACCTATTAAATTATTTCAATTATATTATTATTTTGATAGCTTTCATATCATAAAATTTGAAACTAATTTCTACGAAAGTTCATTTATCATTTTATTTCGGTAGATTTCTATTCTGTGTATAATCTCAATTTCTATTTGTTATGAATTCATCTCACGCAGTCACAAATCTATCAAAAGTTTGGTTTAAATTCATATTTTAAGTTATTCAGAGTTTTATGGCATTATGCATTATAAATGTTTTAAAATTTTGAATAATGGAAACATTGTTTCATATGATATACTTTATGGTACTAAAATTTGAATATTTTGCAACAAAACCTAAACATATTTTTGATTCTGTACTTTATTTAAAACAAAATACAGTACAAAACTAAAAATATAACCCAATGGAAAAATAAAAAGTCTGTTTAGTATTGATATAATGGTCATTCCACTTAATCTAGTAACAAAAAGTACATTACGATTAAATTTATTAGCTTGTCCTTGTTAAACATGTGCTGAAATATTTGTGTTTTTATATGTTTAACGAGATTAAAATGACGTGTCTATACAGATTTTTCTTATTCTTCTTAATGTAAGTAGTCCTTCATTTCGCTCAAAAGAATTCCAAAGCATCCGACTGGTATTAAAATTCTCTAGCAATTCGACTCAGTTTTCAATACTTTCCAAAGACAAGATGAATAACCGAAAAATATTCTTTGATTATTATTCTCTTGACTTTCAATCATATCCTTAATAGGATATTGCACTGTACTTTTAAATTAATGTAAAACATCATCACCTGTAGCCTATATTTAAACGGGAATAGATATTAATTATTAAAGTCATATTATCATATGTATAGCGCTTAATCGAATAAGGGATTATAACTGTAATCTTTCTAGTGAAGTCTTTAAATCCCCTAAGGAAAAGCGAGAATTTATACAAGACGGATTGTAAGCAAGAAAACAAATATGATGAAGCGTCGGCGGCTCTTGATTTTTTACGACTTCATAAATGTCAAGAACAAATGTGGTGCTGGCCGCAAGTGTGAAAGCGGCTCTATTTGAAACTGTCGTTACTGCATTCCCAAGACATAGACTAACTGCAAATGCAATTTTCCGGAACTAACAATAACTATAAGATAACATACTAATTTTTTAAATATATATAACGCAATTTAAAGAATATTAACGACTATTTACAAAAAAAGGTTTAAATATAAATATTTTGAAGGATTTAAATTTATTATACTTAGAATATTTTTAATAAAATTTCATTTAAAGTAATTAAAATAATCCATAGTATTTGCCGACTTATTTTTAGATGGCATATTTCTTTTTGATATAATGATAACGTGGTCGAAATGGGAAGTTTTTTATTTTTATTTTTTGCTGTATATCTGGTGATGTTATTGTAAGAAATCATTGGCAGAGAATATCGAATTGCCGATAAAATAAAAATAAAAAAAAAAGCTTTTGAGTCAAAATTATTCTACGACCTCCGGCAAATTACAAATAATAATCATTTGATAATGCTAAGGGTTGTTTAGAGGTTGTTATCTGATAAAAGACACTTAAATAAATGCTTTCTCGGTGCTTAATAAAATAATTTCCTTTCAGGTCCGAGCAAAATTCTTTTATAGTTCTTTAAAAAAGAAATAGGTCTTGCGCATGCTGATTATTAACTTAATTAATAAAACAGTCGAATCAAACATCAAGAGGCCAATTGCGATAAAGGTAATACCAAAACTTAACGAGTTTTCCTATTTAATTGTATTAATACGGTAGGATTTTCCTCTTAAATACAGTTTGTGAAAAAAATAAATAAATTCGATATAATAGTTTAATGATATCCCACCCGATAAAGAAGCGAATTACACGAAAGAAAATTTTTATAATTGCAACTAGCAATTGCTTAGAAAGAGATAATTTCTAAAGGACAGATTAATGTTGTATAAGTGAGGTCGGAAGCGAATGCAAATGACGTCTTTCCTTAACGAGTGACGACAGTAAGAATTTATTAACGGGCTTCGTAACTGGCTTCCTGGAATATTTCGACCAAACGTGTATCAACATATATTTAAATGAATCGAAGGAATCTGCCTACCAAAATAATGGCATTTCTGCCAAGATATTTTTTTTTTTACAAAGACGCTCTCTATATCGTTTTTATCTTTACGATGCGATCTATTATGTAACGACATAATGTTATTGTTACAGGCAAGGACGAGGTAAGCGTCCACCGTGCTGTTTCAAGGACAACAGTATTTTACGATCTCTTAAAAGGAAATCGTTTCCTTATAACGTCTTTTAAAACTTTTGCTCTACGGTTTAATTTAATGTCGACGCCTCACGTTACCAAAAACGTGCAGTCGAAAAGAGATGTGATTATACCTACCGTTATTGGGCACGCAACGAGGAGTGTTGCTATTCCATCTATTGTTGACGCAATAAGCGTAGTGTCTTCCTATCATCTTATAGCCCGGGTGGCACGTGTATTGGACTACCTCTCCGTCTCTAAAGATGAAACTGAGTCCATTGACGGGGGACCTCGGAGCTGGGCAATGATGATTCCTCCAACTTGTTTTTCCCACTGAAAATAAAATATTTTCATTTTCGTATTTATCTCATAAAATATTAAAAAATCGAATTATGAAATTTCAATTGATTTATAACGTATAAAATTTGTTTTTTTCCCTACTTAAAAATATTTTATATTCTCTCTATTCAAAATCTAGTTTAAGAAACTCGTCTGTTGTTCTCGAAGAATAAATTTCTAATGTGTTTATTCATTTGTTAAATTCTGTAGCTAAGTAAATCTGGCTTTCAGTTTCATATTAATTAATTCAAGGTTCAAATCGTTAAATTATAAACGTATATCAGCAACTAAAATAGATAAATTCCACTTGTAAAAGAACAAGTGAATTACTGAATCAACAGATGTGTTTTGGCTTTTCAAGGAGAGTTCCATTATTTGTATGATTAATGGAGTCCAAACACCTCGGTGCATTTCGAGGTACGAATCCGCCCGAGAGAACCTTGAAATAGTGAAAAATCGAATCAAAACTCGATTGTACGTTCACGGGTTGTTTATGTATAAGAAATGGCACTAGTTGGGTCAGAGAACTGTGACGTCACGAAACCAGTTCAATAAGCAATTATTTTTGGTTAAAAAAATATGAACAAACATTCTTGTGACGGTAAGAATCGATCGCACGACAGCGACGACTCTTCTTGTAAATTAAACTGATCATTCGCGGCTCCGGACGTCACACTCCGAAAGGTGACATTGACACCACTTTAAACAGATCCACCCAACTCACGCAAAATGCAGCCCTTTCGAAGAAAGGGGAGATTTCGATACGAAGGAAACGAATAAACAATCTGGTTTCAACTAAATTCTTATAAGCCTACACGAGTGACATTCCGTCCACCGTCGAGACGAGTCTGCCGACATTCCATAGCCTAGATGTTAAAGGTTAAAATAGGGAGATCTATTCTAAATACAAATAGTTATCATCGGCAATACCGACTATTATTTGTACAAGGCGAAAATTAAATCTAAAACGAGTTTGTCCCGAATTCAATAAATGCTTGGAATATCAATCTATTATTAGACCTTTTCTTTTTCTAGGAAGAGAATGCGCTTTTTGTATCCGATAAAAAGATAAGCCTACAATAGTTAAATGGCGTGTAGTGTCTTTTATAAATCACCGTAATAAAGCTAAAGCTAAATAACTAAATACTTCATTTCGCTAACTTACTGTAGATCATTGATTTGAAATTTTATCGAAGATCGTTTTTTGGGGCACGAACCTCGTATCATATTTCGGGAAACGATTACAAGTATAGAGGAATTTTATTAACTTTCGGCCTTTGTATAACGTAAGAACTACAATGAAACGACTTTTACTAATCCCGTTGCTCAACGAAATAAACGTTGCCCTCTCGTCTTTGAACTTTCGAACGAAAGAAAAATTTTGTTATGGCCAAGAGAAACGAAAGAACAAGTTAAATGAGTCAGACGCTACACAGGAAGTGGTATATATAAGAAAAATAAATTTGCCGTCATTTTCTTCGAGACAAACTCCTTAAACCACTTACGACCGCTACTATAAAAGAGAGACGGAAATAGGTCAAGATCCCGCTTATTTTGTTTAATTATTACGTTTGTACCAGCATCCGGTAACGGTCGAGTACTCGGTCGATCTTTCACATTCTTATCAAGTGATTCGAGGTACCTCATCCCGTTTCTACAACCGGGTCCAGTTACGTTCCATACCGAATTTACAATCCGTGGGCGAAAACGCGCAACAGTCACGTCCGGTCATCTTCCACGCTAAAATATTTACTTTCTAACGTCATCCCGACTCCGTCTTTTTATTCCAACTAGTCTAAAAGTAGAAGTAAATACTAACGAAAAAAATAGATATCGCTCATCACCTCTCGATAATTTAAAGATTAATCAAATCGGGTCAACGAGTCCTTCCCGTTGACCGAATTTTGTCAGTTGATCCCGTGTTTCCTTTAAATTTCTGCCGACCGACTTACAACACAAAAGAAACCTTGGAAACGATAAGATATTAAAAAATAAAATAAAAAAAGTAAACGAGAAGGCTAAAGGAAAGCGCGAAGAAAGAACGGAAGCGGAGGAGAAAATAATGGGTAAGCTACCATCACGTGTAGTAAATGACTTACCCGTCATCCGGCAGGCAGATAGCAGCAGTATTCCCAAAGCGGTCCACATCGCCGAGTCGTCTGTGCCTCGACAGACGTGACACCTCTATATAGAGCACGAGGGCGCTGGGGTGGACCGACCACTGCCCACACTCTCACACCGCCCATACAATCGATTAAAGGTGAGTTTTGACAAAGGCCGAGCTGACACTTATCCTCTTCCCCATTGGATGCTTAGTTTTTCTATTGCGCGCTCCATTACAAAATAAATGTGCCAAAATAGAATAAACGCTACTCGTCGACCATGTTTACCGATGCGCGATAATAACGAATTTTAACGATTTTTAGAAGGAAAGTCGAGTTTTGATGAAATCCCGTTTTATGTCCGACGAACAAATCACTTTTATCCTGTACGCTAGGAAAAAAGCACTTATATATATATATATATATATTAACTATATTGAAAACACTTCGATCAGTATTCAACTTTTAAATAAAAGGCACTTTTAATTAATAAATAAGCAGTTTGCATTTTAAGTTTAAAAAATGGATGCAAGAAAGAGAATTATTTAAGTAATTATTTATGGAATGAGCGTGAAGAAAAATGAATAGTTTACAAGTTTTCCGATTTAGATTTTATCGAGCAAGCTTCATAATAGATTTAGATTTAGCAGGTTTGTGGCAGGTAGTAAGTGGCGATGGTCCATTTACCAATGACCGGTCGACGTGTGCGAAGTGGCAAAGGTCGAATTGGGCAGGAACCACACTCGCTATGCTGTTGTGCAAGCAATAAAAAGCTGTTGTTTTGTAATCGGAGAATGACAACTGCTCTCTTTTATAAATGGTTTCGGTATGTTATGAAAGAGTGGAACGTCACGACCGAATACTTTATTGTAGGAAACAGATGAAAATTGTATTATTCCATTGTTGCGCATCGGTTCTTACCTATAATTATACATCTTTCTTGCAAAACTTTTGTTTTACTCGACCTATATACCAAGGAATTAAAGTAACTATTTATTATGCATCTCTCGAATCTATGCTATAAGTTCGATTTTTAATGGAAATCTTCTAGATTTTTCATATTCTTCACTCAGTAAATAAGAAATTTGATTTTTGATGACTTGTTGTTACAAATTCTTTTCCGGAGATAAACTTTTTTAACAACTCTGTCACGTTTCACACCAAATAAACGTATCTAATATTATAATTTAATAACGGAATTATATCTATTCTTTTTCGCGCTGCGTCATTCTCTGCAATTTAAATTATTATCGGAATGGCATACGAGACTTTATTCTATGAATAAACCATTCTTTATAAATACTTTCAAAGTCATTGCCATGTTTTCTATCGAACTCGAATAGTCCATTATGCGACGTGACAACGCAACTATTGCGTGTTAGGCGACAACGCGCCGATCTGGCTTTACACTCCTTGCATTTCTTTCGAGCTTATACTCTTGGTCCTAAGTTCTTATCTGTAAAAGTACTTACGAATCTCTTAATGGAGTCACGCTAAGCATTTTAATAACTTAGCTAATAAAGAACATTAACCAGGCATTTAACTTTCTAGCGTACTAAATATTTTATCTTCATTTAATCACAAAAGCATTGTATAAAGAACAACTGTTTATAAAATTAAGTAGCCAATATGGTAACTAAATGTCGAGAATAATAATTAATCCCGTGTGAATCTCTTAATAAATTCTAGTAGTAGATTAAGTAGATTCTCGTAGGAAAGAGATTTTTATTCGATATGTTTAAAAAGTGTTACAAAAACGCGCTTATCAATAGTGTTTTTGTTATTTGAGGATAAATATGTTTAGGCAGATCTAATAAATTTGGAATTGAAATGCAAATGGAAAAAGGGCCGTATCTCAGTAGAGCAAACGAGTGGGCGAAGGTTCTACCGTTTGCAAAACGGAACCTTGAGTGCTGTTTTGACAACCTTCGCAATTTGCTCGAATTGTGTGGGTAGTTAATCTCTTTCTTTTGGCTCATTACCTGGCTGAATTCTTTTTGAATATCTTCTGTACGAATCTTCATCGACCGTTACGACCGATTCTAGTTTAACTGGTCGAATCTTATACATTTAAAAGAACTCGTTATATGACTTTCGATAAAGGTGGGAGTATTGATATTTGTGTTTGTTTTGCTAAATATTTTTTATTCTACCGAGTGAACTTTCGTATGCAAACTTTAACGTGTTACAATCTCTTCTGATCGCTCCAAAAACAAGCTCAACGGATTTCGCAAAAGAATGAAACCGAAATAATTTATTCATTTAAATTACAGTTGAGCTTGGAACAAATGCTGATGAGATACATAATTAAATTGATCATTAGAATGATTTATTAAAACCTACATGATTTTTGTATTCTAATACATTTAAAACGCAAATTATATTTACATAAATAGTCTTCAAATGCCTTAAGTCATGTAGAGGATTTGTTAAAACATTATGATTTTTATGGCTATTCTGATGGAATTAAGAATGATTAAAGGTCCTTTACATCAATTTATTATTGTAAAATTTTCGAATTTTTTCGAATGTTTTCTTAAAGAAAAACTTTTAGTTTTAGAATAATTTCTCTGTAATAAAGAAAAAATTTAAAGTTTTTTTTTTTTTTTTTGAAGCAAAAATACGACATGTCGATTCGAAATTGTACAGTGGAAAGAAGGAAATAAATTAAATTATTCTGATAAATAACTTTTATTAAAGAAAACTGACGAGCAGAATATGACGCAAAATTTTACATTTATTTTCCCACTTTAAATTTAATTCAATTTAAGAAATTTTTGTGTTACTGAAACAAAGAAGCTGTTTTTGAAACGAATAAAATGAGTCGGAATAAAAAAAACAAGTATTTATCCAGATTTATTTGGCCTGATTTTAGATAATTTGAAGAATGCCGATTTAATGGTGGCTCGTAAATAGAAAAAGAAAAGGTAGAGAAGACTTAAGATACTCATTTTTTCGAATAAAAATTGGATAAGAAGTTTAAAAAATGACGAATTAGTAATAAGAAAAAATGCATTATTATTCCATTAATCAAGATTTGCAATTGATTAAAAAACAACAACAGAATTGCGCGTATTGAATATCGGCGATTTCTTTGAGAGAAATTCGATATCTTGTAGACAGTAGTTTCGTTTTACATTTCTCTGACATAGTTTTGATATTAATCTTACAATTTACGGTTCATTGTCAGCTCTGGCCCTAATTTGCATTCGTTCGAATTGGGTTGGTAATCCCGATATCATCTATCAGAAATTGCATATAACTCGGGCCTCCTTTCCTCGGTGACTTTCAATACGATCTCCATGTTATACAATCGAGATTTCACTTTATTATTCTATAAAATATCATTTTGACCCGTTTGACGTAAAGTTGTTTTCGTTAAAAAAAATCATATATAGGCTAAGTCAGTTTATTTTTGACGGATTCGATATAGGAATGATGGATGACCTAAATGTTAACTAAGTCCATTATATTTTAAACCTTCAATCGTTGAATTAACTAACCAAAATGTAACAAAAACATATTTCGGAATCGCAAATACGAAATGGTCACTTTCATTTTATTTTTTTGTTAGTTACCAAATAATTTAAGACCAAATTTCACTTATAAATTAAAAATTTATGTGACCTTTAGGCCTATATTCAATTAAACGTTTTTCCATAAAATACCGAAGATATAACAATTAATCAATATTTTATATTGATTTTAAATTATCTTCTCAATATTTTAAAAGTATATTTTGCTATGATAATATTAATTTTGCGTTAAAAAACATATTTCATGTTTTTTTTATAATAGTCTTTATATAGACGATAGTTGATTTATTTTATAAAAAAACAAATGCTAAAAGCTTGGTTTATTGATTTGTTTTTTTTTTTTTTTTTTAAGAAGTAATTAAAGTTATATTCAAATTTTCTATAGAGTAATGATTATCTTTTATAGCAGTTAACAGCTTTTTGAAAAACTTACAAAAAGATTAAAACGCTTTTAAGATTAAAAATGTTTAAAAATGTGTTTTAAACTTTAAAAGTTAAGTTTAGGCCTACGCTTTTAATTGAAATTTAGAAGAAAAAAGTTAAGAGAAAAATGTTAAAACACGCTCCTATCTTATCGTGTCCGCTTCTTACATTCATATATTTACAATCGAAGTTTATTTATAAAATAAAATTCATCGTATCTTTTATTTTTAGAAATTGATATTGTATCTGTTGATTGAAGCATTGCATTTTATAAAGAAACGGCGCGATATTGTTTCGGCCGCAATGACGCAGAGTGATTAGTGACATAAACACTCTTGACCTCGACTCTCGCACCAATTATTAATAGATAAAACTTGTTCTTGCCCGACAAAATAGGAAGTGCTTAGTTTTTCAATTAGAAATGCGTGAGAACTCGATAAAACACAAACCCGTATTTTCCAGCAATTAATCAAAAAATTCTGCTTATCTTCGTGTACGGAATGAATTTATTATTATTATTATTATTATATTTATAGGATTATTTTATTTATAGAATATACTAATTATCTGACTTCTCGTTTAAATCAAAAATGTAATTGCAATCCTCGTAATAAAATCTGTTCAAAGTGCAACAACTTTTTATAATTTATGTTATATTTCTCGCCAGCAATAAAAATAAGTTTTAATTTCGTATAAATCAAATTTAATTGTAGACGTGACATTTATTTTCGTGTAAATATTCGAAGAGTTTAGTAGAAATTCTTTTGGAATTAATTAGTTTTGACAACTCGAATCGGAATTCCTGTTGCGATGTTTTTTTTAGAAGTAAAACATATTGAAAACATACATTTCTCTTCTTTACAATAAAATCTCGTAAACAAGACGAAGTGATCAAATTTGTCATAGGATCGACTTGCAGTAGATATAAATACAAATTAGTTCCATCTGTGGAACAATTAACCTTACGCAATTCACCACTTGACGTCTTTTCGAGCGATTTCTAAATAGCTTCTTAGTAAACATTAGCGAATGGATGTCTTCATTAACTATTCATAAAGTCGATAATTAAAATCTCTTATATGCAGTACAGTACATATATCGATTTCCTGAGAAATGCAAGGAAGTGCGTAGCTTCGACTGTCGCAGTTTCTATACAAAGCGATACAATTCGGCTTATTTATTCAAAAGAATAGGCGCTAC